GGGTGGGCAAACTTTTTGACTTGAGGGCCGAAATGGGTTCATATATTGGACCCGGGGGCCGGACCAAGAGTAGATGAATGATGTGTATGTGTCATCCATAGTAAGTATAGTAATATTCCCCCATAGTAAGCATAGTAATTAATCCCCCATATAGTAATTCATCCCCCATAGTAATTCATCCCCCATAGTAATTCATCCCCCATATAGTATTCATCCCCCCTATAGTAATTCATCCCCCCTATAGTAATTCATCCCCCATAGTAATTCATCCCCCATAGTAATTTATCCCCCATATAGTAATTCATCCCCCATATAGCAATTCATCCCCCATATAGTAATACATCCCCCATAGTAATTCATCCCCCATATAGTAATTCATCCCCCATAGTAATTCATCCCCCATATAGTAATTCATCCCCCATAGCAATTCATCCCCCATAGCAATTCATCCCCCATATAGTAATTCATCCCCCATAGTGTAATTCATCCCCCATAGTGTAATTCATCCCCCATAGTGTAATTCATCCCCCATAGTGTAATTCATCCCCCATATAGTAATTCATCCCCCATAGTAATTCATCCCCCATAGTAATTCATCCCCCATATAGTAATTCATCCCCCATATAGTAATTCATCCCCCATATAGTAATTCATCCCCCATAGTAATTCATGCCCCATAGTAATTCATCCCCCATAGTAATTCATCACCCATAGTAATTCATCCCCCATATAGTAATTCATCCCCCATATAGTAATTCATCCCCCATATAGTAATTCATCCCCCATATAGTAATTCATCCCCCATAGTAATTCATCCCCCATATAGTAATTCATCCCCCATATAGTAATTCATCCCCCATAGTAATTCATCCCCCATATAGTAATTCATCCCCCCTATAGTAAGTCCCCCCTGTGTCAATTTACTTACCTTTGCTCCGCGCGTTCCTCTCGCTGTGTTCCCGCGCCGTTCCAGTCTTCAGGGCGGACTGTGAGAGGAGCCTAGCTCCCCTCACGTTCGTCACGCTGCCCCGCCTACACACATCCTGACAGCCTCACATCACGCTCCGCGGGCCGGATTAAAAGGTCCGCCGGGCCGTAGTTTGCCCATTGCTGGTCTAGAGGCAAAAAAAAAAATCCTTCTATTCTGTGTTTTTTTTTGCAGAACAAAAAGCTAAAGGCTCCTAAGAGCACTGGCGTTTTTTAAGCCAGTGTGCATAGAACCCGAGAGCAGTTTTCTGGCAGAAAAAAAAATGCTGCATGCTCTTAAATTCTCTTAGAAGCTCCTAAACGTCTGTAAAAAAAACTGCTCTATAGGAGAATTTTTTTTTCTGCCAAGGGAACTAGCTTTTTTTTTTTTTTTTAAAAGCCCAGTGTGCATGGACCCTCAACAGTATTACACTACGCGATCTGTTTCTACTCTATGCCCCTTGAGCCTATCAGCGACCCCCTCTGTGAAGCGATAAGCAGGCTGAAGTTGCTGCTATATTCAGGTCCATTAACTTAAGCGCTTTTGATTGCTTATGGTTTGGAGATCAATAACATCTGGTAAAATGCTTGCACACTTAGTGGAGTGAGTTTTTAAAGCGTTCATGCCTATTTTGTCTTGTTTTGATTGAGGTTTTGTATTCAGATCAACAGTGTGCTGCATTTTGTGAGTATTGTTGCATTTTGTGAGTATATTGGTGCATTATGTGCAAAAGATTATTTTTGGTCCAACATTTAAGGGCTCAGCATGCATCATCTAGGAGCACACCTGAGCAAAAAAAGTAATGTTTAGGTGAATGTTGTCTACTGTGCTCATCTGTGACTTGCGTTGACACTGCCATTAAGAAAAAAGAATTCAATCCAGCCATACCTGAAAAATAAGGCATATTCAAATGTTCTGCTGTTGGACTGGCTTGCATGCTGAGAAATATTTTGATGAAGTCCACACTGAAATTGACCATCAGGGAGTGTTGATCTCCATGGTTCTTCAATCTGACCCTCACCATTACAAGACACAGTAATGCCATAGAGGTAAGTAGAATTATACCCCTAAGTGTCAGTTTCAGTGTGGACTTCAGCAGATTTCTCAGCACCAGAGTGGAAATCGGTGGCATGAGTAGCAGGAGAGGAGAGTATGGTTACATAGTTAGTCAGGTTGAAAATAAAAGACAAGTCCATCTAGTCCAACCAAAAGAAAAAATAAGCAATTAGAAAACCTCCATATACAGAACCCTATAGCCACAGTTAATCCAGAGGAGGCAAAAAAAAACAATAGAAGCATGGTCCAAATAGCTTCATTGGGGGAAAAAATCCTCCCTGATATCAGGAAGCTAAATGGATATTCCCTGCATCAAACATCCCTGGTGTTATTACCTTTACATGTTAATATTCAGTTATATTCTGTGCATTTAGAAATGCATGCAGCTCTTTTTAAAAACAGTCTACTGAGCTGACCAGAACTATTTCTTAAGGGAGTCTATGCAAAACACTTTCACAGCTCTTACTGTGAAGAAGCCTTTCCACATGTGGAGGTTAAATATCTTTTCCTCCAGACACCTTGTCCTTTGGTATAGCGACAAAGTGAAAGTAAAGCTAAAACATTTTTTCATTTTGGATAGAGCAGGTAATCATTAAAAATTTTTCTTTATTCCTCTGTGCCATCAGAGATTTTCTCCCTTACTTTCAGTCTCAGAAACACTGTAGAAACCACAATAAGATCTCTCCAAGCTAAGGGGATAGACAATTGTCACCAGAACAGATTTAACCATTGGAAGGTTTTCCAGTACACTCCAAAGGCCAATAGGATAAAAAGAGAGAGTGCATACAACTTTTTTTGTTTTGTTTCAAAATTTTGTCTATCTCAGAACTATAGATCTCCTGCAACTTCTCTGCAGTCATTTTCAGCCAAAAAGCTATTGTGCGGTCAAACCCAATATACTTCCCGGCTACAGCAGGCCCAATGAATTTGAGTTCCATTAGTGTGGCGACATCACTAAAATGACATATTTTGCCTACAACGCTTTGTCTAAAGTACCCATTCACAAGGCACCCAGCGGTCGGGAACTTTACTGGGTGATTTTTATGACACAAGGGGGTTGGAGCACAGACTTGCTTCTTTGATTATATTTAATATACAGTATTATACATTTAGGAAATAACACTGTAGATAAGTGATTCCCAGCCTTATTTCAGTTTGTACCCTTTGGCAGTCCATTATCATAAATTGTACCCTTTCCCCATGGGATAGGAGGAAGAGGGGGAATGGCTAATAAAAAGCACAAATAAACACACCAAACTGTGTTTAGTGGGCTGAAGGACAGCAATGTTGAAAAGTTACCTTTGATCTTAGGGCAGTTGGATGGTATGGATTGACAGAAAGAGGGATCTGTAAGAGCAGCTTGACAGTTTTCTGACTTTGCAACTACTGTACATTTTGCAGAGATAGTGAGTAGTAAAACAGTGGGAGTAGAGCAGAACTGACCTCATCACTCTGCTCGCATTAATTTCACCAGGCACAGCTGTAGCTCACTTACTTACTAGTGTGAATGACAACCAGCAGAGCATTGAGTTAAAAAGACAAAATTCCATCCAGCTCAACCAAAAAAAAAAAAAAAAAAAAAAAGTTATAATCCTATACCCACAGTTGATCCAGAGGAAGGCAAAAAACCCAGCAAAGCACGATTTAATTTACTCCTGCAGGGGGAAAAAAATTCCTTTCTGATCCCCCGAGAGGCAATCGGATATTCCCTGGATCAACTTTACCTATAAATGTTAGTATCCAGGCCTTTTTTAACTCCACTGAGCTGGCCAGAACAAACTCTTGAGAGAGTCCATTCCATATTTTCACAGCTCTCACTGTGATAAAAACCTCTCCGTGTTTGGAGATTACATTTCTTTTCCTCCAGACGTAAAGAGTGCCCCCTTGTCCTCTGTGATGATCTCAGGGTGAATAGCTCTACACCGAGTTCACTATATGAACCACTGATGTATTTATACATGTTGATCATATCCCCTTAATCTTCTCTTCTCAAGAGAGAATAGATTCAGTTCCTCTAATCTTTCCTCATAGCTGATCTCCTCCATGCCTCTTATCAGTTTAGTTGCCCTTCTCTGTACTTTCTCCAGTTCCCCAATGTTCTTTTTGTGAATTGGTGCCAAAATTGAACTGCATATTCCAGATGAGGTATTACTAATGATTTGTACAGGGGTAATATGATATCTCTCTCTCTAGAGTCTATACCTCTTTTAATACAAGAGATGATTTTGCTCGCTTTAGAAACCGCAGCTTGGCATTGCATGCCATTATTAAGCTTGTGATTTACCAGAACCCCCAGATCCTTCTCCACCATTGATTCCCCCAGTTGTACCCCCCTAGTATGTATGATGCATGCATATTCTTAGCCCCCAAGTGCATAACCTTACATTTATCAACATTAAACCTCATTTGCCACATAGTTGCCATATTAACCTCCCTAGCGGTCTGATTATGTCCATATTTCTGTGCTCAAAGCGGTACATTTTTTTTGCATGGAAATATGTATTTTTTTTTTATTGTAGGCCTGTAATTTTTAGGAATAACTCACTGAAATCTGTCCGAACAAGAGTCTAGTAAACATCCCGGGTATGTTACAATTTGAAACACAAAATCATAAATTATAATTTAATAAATAATCATAAAAAATAATAATATAATAATAATAATAAATTAAATTCAATAATATAATCAAACCAAAAAAACTGAAAAACTGAAATTTGAAATACGTAGAGCACCAAGTTCGCACATCACGGAGTAAAGTCGCAAAATCGTTTTCAGTGTCTGACGACGAATTTCCCCACGAATCATTATCACTCAATTCTGCAAGTGGTTCTAATTTACTATCGCTGTTCTCTAGCTGGTCTAAAACCGCTTTTGACCTAAAGGGACTCTTTTTGGATGCCATGGACATTTCTCAGTTTCCAGGCAGAAAGAACAGTAATAATGCAGGCAGGGCACAGGACAATGCACTAGAGACAAAATGTATGTGAAATGCTTTGAAACAGTAATGTTTTACTATGTGATTTTAGTATATTTAGTGAATGACACTTTTTGTTATTTTCAAATTTCCCGCCGTTCTGTCCCCGTACGTCCCGTCGCTCGCAGGGGACGGAACCCAGATGCCGGCATCTGCCGGAGGAGATTACAGGGGACACTGTAGGAAGGACATCGCAGGAGCGCAGGACAAGGTAAATGAAGAACAGATCCCAGAGCAGCGCCGCATGGTAAGCAGAGCGTAGATCGGGGTTACCGCTTGTGGTATTGAAACTTTACCCCGAGCTACACTCGGGAATACCCCCAGGGAGGTTAAATAGTGCATTGAGGTTGGCTTGTAAGTTGAAGACATCATGTAAGGACGTTATTCCACTGCACAGCTTGGTGTCATCTGCAAAGACTGAAATGGGATTTTTAATCTTAGACCCTATATCGTTTATAAATATATTAAAAAGTAAGAGACCCAACACTGAACCTTGGGGTACACCACTGATGACCCTAGACCAGGGGTGGGAAAACTTTTTGACTTGAGGGCCGCAATGGGTTCATATATTGGACCCGGGGGCCGGACCAAGAGTAGATGAATGATGTGTATGTGTCATCCATAGTAAGTATAGTAATATTCCCCCATAGTAAGCATAGTAATTAATCCCCCATATAGTAATTCATCCCCCATAGTAATTCATCCCCCATAGTAATTCATCCCCCATAGTAATTCATCCCCCATATAGTAATTCATCCCCCCTATAGTAATTCATCCCCCATATAGTAATTCATCCCCCATATAGTATTTTCATCCCCCATATAGTATTTCATCCCCCATAGCAATTCATCCCCATATAGTAATTCATCCCCCATATAGTAATTCATCCCCCATATAGTAATTCATCCCCCATAGTAATTCATCCCCCATAGTAATTCATCCCCCATAGTAATTCATCCCCCATATAGTAATTCATCCCCCCTATAGTAAGTCCCCCCTGTGTCAATTTACTTACCTTTGCTCCGCGCGTTCCTCTCGCCGTGTTCCCGCGCCGTTCCGGTCTTCAGGGCGGACTGTGAGAGGAGCCTAGCTCCCCTCACGTTCGTCACACTGCCCTGCCTACACACATCCTGACAGCCTCACATCACGCTCCGCGGGCCGGATTAAAAGGTCCGCCGGGCTGTATACGGCCCGCGGGCCGTAGTTTGCCCATTGCTGCCCTAGACCATTCAGAGTATGAATCATTAACCACTACCCTCTGAATACAATCTTTTAGCCAGTTTTCTATCCATTTACATATGGATTTTTCCAAGCCTGTAGACTTTACCTTACACGATAGCCGTGTGTGGGGAACTGTGTCAAACGCTTTTGCAAAATCCAAGTATACCATGTCCCACCACCACCCATCTGTCCAAGGTTTTGCTCACCTCCTCATAAAAAGAAATCAGATTTGTTTGACTCATCTATGTGGTCTTTTATTAAACTCTCCAGTATGTTCCCAACTACAGATGTTAAAATAACAGGTCTATAATTAATTGGTAAAGATTTTGACCCCTTTTTAAATATTGGTACCAAATTGGCCTTACTCATCCAGTGGTACTATGCCAGTCATTAAAGAGTCCCTAAAAATATGAAAGATGTGCAAAAAAGATCAGTTTCTCCCAAGGGCTTCATTGCAGCTCTCTAAGGTGTATCATACACACAGACTAAGGGGTCAATTCACTAAGTGTTAAATAAAGGGGCTATTGATAACGTGCTCATCTGCACGAAATGTGTCAGAGTGGAGCCTAGCCGGTGACATCACTCCGCCCCGCACCTCGTGGAGGCTGGTGGCCATCTTTGTTTCTGGGCTACCCTATGTGAGTGTACTGCATTGTGTTCAATAAAAAACGTCTGTACATACTACACTATCAGTGCTTTTTTGGGGTGGGCTGTATGGTTGAGCCCCCCCTTTCAAGGTGGATATCTATTTTGGGTGCCCTGCTCTGAGGAATCCTGACTAGCTGTATGACAACCGTTGCTGGATGCCTGGTGACCCCCTGTTGGTTAGAAGAAGGAGCATCTCCATCAGAGTGACAGCCTGCTAGATGACCCACATTGCCTCAACCTTCTAGTACCAGGAGTGGTCTGACAACTCAAATGCGCATATTATGCGCCTTCTGGTGAGTGCATATAGTATAGCCACCTATGAGCACGGAGTCGACAGCATTCGCACTTATTACTGGAACGATTGATTTATCACCTGAGGACGCTATTTTCACTTTAAGCACTTTAGCTATTACCTATTTTATTAGATGCATGATGTATATATGAGTCATTGCTTATCCTTTTTTACCATTGTAGACATTAACCATGTGCCTGAGCCCTTTTTGAAATTTTTATATTTTCTGTTCTTTTCAACAGTTCACAATAAGACCTCTATGTGGTTCAACATATGTGTGCTGTTCCCCCTACCTCTTTGATACATATACAGTAGATGTGTGGATTCTTGGGGGCCCAGGATGATGTGTCCTTTCTTCTTGGTGGTCATTTTGGCCAGGAAAAATTCTTGGAATTTTTAAACTGCTCTGGTTTTCGTGCTTTTTTTTCCCCAATGCTAGAAGGCAAGTATATTTTATTACGCACAGCAATGTGCAATGATGTTTTGTGTTGATTGTAGCCAGGGTAACACTCTAATGTTATGTATTTGGATGTCCTAAATCTCCTGATGAAGATTGTGACTGTAATAATTGAAACACGTTGGGGTCTTCCCTGGCAGGAGAGAGAGAGATTGTTGTTAATTTGCACATACAAAAAAGTGTTTTTCCTAACAAAATTCAACTACAGGTGAGTCTAATTATTCATTAAACAGGTGTCCAGCAGACAGTTGATTATAAAAGGGCATTACTTAACAAAGAAAACCCCTTCCCATTTCTGGGAGCTGTCAGCAATGGCACCACATAGAAGAGAAATGTCACAAGAAAGGTGAAGGCTACAAGAAGATCAGCAAAGCTTTACTTATCAGTCAGAATACTGCAGCAAAAGTGATTTAAAAATTTAACAAAGATGAAACTGCAACCATCTCACAAGATGCCCAGGCTGTCCATGGAAGTTAAAGCGAAGCTCACCCCAAAAGGAGAAGTTCCGCTTTCAAACCTTTGTTCCCCGCTCCTCATTAAGGATTGGCACCTCTTGGGGGGAGAGGGGGTACATGAATTTGACAGGTACCCGCTTCTGCTGTGATCTCCTAGGTCAGTGGTGGGCAACCTTTTTTTTCAACTGAGCCAAATCTCGCCAAAACCACGATTGAAATTTATTTTGAGAGCCACATTTTTAAAACTGAAAATACATCCCCCATATAGTAATTCATCCCCCATAGTAATTCATCCCCCATATAGTAATTCATCCCCCATATAGTAATTCATCCCCCATATAGTAATTCATCCCCCATATAGTAATTCATCCCCCATAGTAATCCATCCCCCATATAGTAATTCATCCCCCATATAGTAATTCATCCCCCATATAGTAATTCATCCCCCATATAGTAATTCATCCCCCATAGTAATTCATCCCCCATATAGCAATTCATCCCCCATAGTAATTCATCCCCCATATAGCAATTCATCCCCCATAGTAATTCATCCCCATATAGTAATTCATCCCCCATAGTAATTCATCCCCCATAGTAATTCATCCCCCATAGTAATTCATCCCCCATATAGTAATTCATCCCCCATAGTAATTCATCCCCCATAGTAATTCATCCCCCATAGTAATTCATCCCCCATAGTAATTCATCCCCCATATAGTAATTCATCCCCCATATAGTAATTCATCCCCCATATAGTAATTCATCCCCCATATAGTAATTCATCCCCCATATAGTAATTCATCCCCCTATAGTAATTCATCCCCCCTATAGTAATTCATCCCCCATAGTAATTCATCCCCCATAGTAATTCATCCCCCATATAGTAATTCATCCCCCATATAGTAATTCATCCCCCCTATAGTAATTCATCCCCCATAGTAATTCATCCCCATAGTAATTCATCCCCCATATAGTAATTCATCCCCCATAGTAATTCATCCCCCATATAGTAATTCATCCCCCATATAGTAATTCATCCCCCATATAGTAATTTATCCCCCATATAGTAATTTATCCCCCATATAGTAATTCATCTTCCATAGTAATTCATCCCCCATATAGTAATTAATTCCCCATATTGTGTCAATTCACTTACCTTTGCTCCGCGCGTTCCTCTCGCCGTGTTCCCGCGCCGTTCTGGTCTTCAGGGCGGACTGTGAGAGGAGAGGAGTTCGTCACACTGCCCCGCCTACATCCTGGCTGCCCCGCCTACATCCTGACAGCTGCAGAGTCCTGACTTTCGGGGCGGCCGCCCGAGAGGAGGGAGGGGAGCGGGCGCCCGGCACACAGAAGAGCCACATTTAAGTTTGTAAAGAGCCGCATGTGGCTCGCGAGCCGCGGCTTAAGGACCACTGTCCTAGGTGATCGGAAGTTGTCATCCCTCCATCCCTTCCCATAGTCTTCTGGGACACGTAACAGGTCCCAGAAGACTACGGCGCCTTTCACAAAGCACAGCGATTCTCGCACAAGCGCAGTGGGCACCTGGCTGTGAAGCCGCAAACTGTCACAGCCGGGTACCCACACTGAAGATGCCGGCGCCGGGGAGAGAAGACAGCAGGTGAAACCAGTGGTGGTGAGGACACCACTGGACCGAGGGACAGGTAAGTGGCTGTATTTTACAAGTCAGCAGCTACAGTTTTTTTTAGCTGCTAACTTTTTTTCTTTTTTTTTTCAGGTGGAACTCCACTTTAACAGCTCGACAGGAGCGTCTTCTAATGCAAAGGGTTGAAGAAAATTGGCATGCAAGTTCACTGCAGTTAGCTAAAGAAAGCTAAAGAAGTAGAAAGCCAAACTGAGGTGATGGTCTCTCGTGACACAATACAGTGCACACTGCAGAGGAAAAGCATGCATGGGTGTCATCCGCAAAGAAACCTCTCCCAAAGCCCATGCACAAAAAAGCCTGCCTAGAATTTGCCAGGGCCCATGCTAAAAAAGAAGAAGACTACTGAGACTCTGTAGTCTGAAGTGATGAGACCAAAATAAATGTTTTTGGAACTGATGGCTTCAAAACTGTATGGCATTGTAAAGGTGAGGAGTACAAAGAAAAAGCACAGTGCCTATAGTAAAACATATTGGTGGCAGTGTCCTTGTGTGGGGCTGAATGAGTGCTGCTGTTGTTGGGGAGCTGCATTTCATTGATGGTATCATGAATTCACACTGCTCTATATTGAAAGGGAAGATGCTACCTTCATTCTGTGC